TTTTTGTTTGAAAATGCATGTAATATTTTGTTTATGTTATTTTAGAAGAAAATAATTGCGGTATCTTAATTTTAAGTAAAAAATATTTTGATTATTCAGATTAAAAAATAAATTGGTGTTGACCATTTCCGATTTCCTAAACTTCCATGACAAGTTCTTCATTTTCCTCGACTTCAACCAAAGTTACATTGCTGCATGATCCATCCCCAGTCCGTAGCGCTGATTTCCTTATCTCCATTCCATTTTTGAATTTGATAGATGCTCGATAAGCGTGTTGTTCAGCAGCTCCAGATGTTGGAGCGAGGGATGCCATGTTAAATTTGGATTTTAATGACATTTTTGCAACAGCTTTAAGTTACATTGAATATCTACTGTCATTCAGACATGCAGACCTTGTGCATCGATATAGTTTCAAGAAAAAAGCCTCTCCTACCTCTTTGAGAATATTTGTGTCTGCCTGTTTTTCATAAATAAGGCGGAGCGGGTATTACCTGTCCCCCCCCCCCCCACCCCCCCCCCCCCGTGGGAATTTTCGACACATACATTTTTTTGTTTGTATAGACATGTACTTTAAGGTTTTAGGTGTTTGCCACATGCGAATTACAGCATATCCCGAAAAAACACGAAAAATCATGAAAACTACCAACTATTAAATATATTTGAATTCCTTGCTCCCAATAAAATTTTTATTTGTTACTCAGTTGTAAACGTTGATTAACAAGACAAAACGCAAACGGGTAAACGTCATGTTTAAACGCTACTGACTTGTAAAACTGACAGCAGACTTGTAAAACTGACAGCAGACTTGTAAAAATTTTACAAGTTAGTAATCTAGTAATTTCATTGGCCAGAATTAATGCGAAGTCTCTGTTACATGGATAACATGATATTTTAGACATTTCTTTGAGATCAATTTAAGAACTAATTATTTACGTTTACAAATGAGTAACAAATAAAATATTGTACAATATACGCCAGGTAATAGTTTTTACTGGCTCTAGGAGATGACAGGCTCGCCTGACGGCTCGCCAGTCAACTTCTCCTATCGCCAGTAAAAACTCACTTACCTGGCTAATAATGTAAAATACTATTGTTTCAGATAAACTTTAAAAATGTGTGATGAGAAGCCTTTAAGTTTGAAGAGAGGTGGAGAATCAACATTACAAGGCAAAAGATGTATTATTCATTTTAATGAAAACAAATCAGACACATTACTAAGGCCATTTTCGGTCCAATCATTTCAAAAAGTTCGTGACTGTGTTGAAGTAAGACTTAAGGAAAGCACTGATAGTAATAGATTTGAAACAGTATGTAAACAAGTTCCATTGGATCTCAATACAGATTACGACTTTTATCATCGCTGGTGTTATCAAACATTTACAAATGTCTCCAAAATTACAAAACGAGTGCAATGACAGTGAGCCATCCACGTCCAAGCACCTACACAGATCTGCTTCAACAAGAAATACATTTCCCAGTGATAGCTGTATTTTTTGCAATAAAAATCGAAAATGGATTTCTTCACAAAAGAAGTATGAGCTACCTACAAAATGTGTAACCAAAATTGCGGGGACGTCCATTTTAGAAGCTGCAGAAGCAAAGGCAGACAAACACTTGTTGTGTAAGTCTACTTCCCCCATGCAAAACGTCATTAGAAAACCACATAAAACGTGTCAACTACCAATGTTACATATGGAATAACGCACATGTAGCTAAACCCTCCACACCAACTCCAGTAGGACAGGGGCGGAAGTTGGAGAATGGTGAGCTTAAGTTTGATTGGATTAAAGGAGATCCGTTGCCTCCCGAACTGCTTGACGTTCCAGAAAGCTTTGAACTGGATGAATTTGAAGATGAAGATGAACCAGAAGTACTAAACTTAGACGACTTAATACACGAGGAGGAAGAAAATGACAGTTGATTACAAATGATACTATAAAATCATATGTTGTTAGTTGAACAAAATAAAAAATTCATTAATTTTTTTACATTTTTCAGTATTTCTTAATTTCCCCGAATATGCTGTAATTTAAAAAGGGCAAACAATTGAATTCTTAATCTGGTAGGTAACGCCAACAAAAAAAAGTATGTCATAAATTCCCACAGGGGGGGGGAGGGTTTCATATTGGTGGCTCGTGGTCTAAAAACTGTTAAGCTTTTGTGCGATCATTTGATGAACTTAGCAATTTGTACTCGTTGATTTTGCCTTTGCCGAATAAAGAAACCAAGACCAAGGAAGACCGAAAGGGGACTGATACCTACAGTAATTTATGAAGAAGCAGCCAAAAGGGTGATTGATAATGAGGCATCTGTTAGAAAAGTGGCTAAGTGTTATGGAATGTGCCATGTTTCATTAAATTGTTTTGTGAATGCTCTACGTAATAATTTACAGCCTAAGGTAGGATACAATCCTTACAACAGGGTGTTTACTGCTGAGCAGGAGTCACAGCTAGTAAAATACTGTGAAAAAACTGTCGATTTGTACTTTGGGCTCACCACAAGGGATCTTCGTAAACTAGCGTTTCAGTTTGCATCTGCTAACCGGCTTAACTATCCTCAAAAATGGAATGAAGTAGAACACGCTAGTGAAGATTGGCTCTGTGCTTTCCTGAGAAGAAATTCTCATTTAACACATCGAACCCCCCAAGCAACCAGCCTTGCACGAGCCATGAATTTCAATAGAGAGAACGTTTCCAACTTTTTTAATAAACTGGCAACTGTATTGGAAAGACACAGTTTTGAACCACAAAATATTTACAATATTGACGAGACTGGTGTCTCTACGGTTCAAAAGCCAACCAAAGTAATAGCCAAAAAGGGTACCAAGCAAGTAGGATCAATAGCATCTCAAGAGCGTGGAACACTTGTTACGCTGTGTGTGGCTGTAAATGCAGTTGGTAACGCAATTCCACCAATGTTTGTATTTCCCCGGTTACATTTCAAAGATCATTTTATTAGAGATGGGCCTATTGGATGCGTAGGGAAAGGAAATAAGTCCGGATGGATGCAAGAGAATAGGTACCTTTACACGAGCGCACTTTCATGCGAGAATGGCGCGTACGCGCCAATCTCGCACGCCAGTGGCGCTCCAAGAGTGTAGCGTTCCAAGAGTTTATAGCTTAAAATTTAAACGTTCCAGTTCGACATGCTTTCCCGCATTCCGGAACGTGAAGGGATAAACCTGTTAGTGTAAATCGAAAAACGTCAACTTTCACGCGGGATTAACATGTCGGGTGGAGTTTCAGAATTTCTAAAATCTTTCTAAACGGTTTTAGTCGTTTTAGTGTTATTTTGATCTACAGAAGATGTATAGACATAACAGAGAACGTAAATTGAAAGTGGCGCTCTGCATGGCAGTGGCGTATTTGTCGCATCCAGGAAATAAAAAAAAAATTTGGGTCAAAAAATGGATGGTAGATCGGAATATACATGGTCATATGCCGCTAATTAAAGAATTGCGCGAAAATTATCCTGACGATTTCAAAAATTACTTGCGTATGGATTCGGCAACCTTTAGTGCCTTGTTAGAGTTAGTTTCACCTATAATATCGAAAGAGAACACAATTATGCGCGAAAGTATAAGTGCTGAAGAAAGGCTCACAGCAACTTTGCGCTATTTAGCTACAGGTCGTTCGTTTGAAGACTTAAAATTTACAACTGGAATTTCGCCATCATCATTATGTCAAATCATTCCCGAAACTTGCAAAGCTATATGGCAAGTTCTCAAAAAAACACATCTTAAGGTAAGTATATGAAAGATATAATATTTCTGAACTTAATAAAATGCTTAAATACTCGTACATAGTATCTATGAATTACTTCAAAAAGTTTGCAACGTTCTGATAATAGGTTCTTGTGCATGGGTCCGTCTCTTCGACATTAGATAATGTACAGTGTTGAGCAGAGTTCTCTGATGACACAGTAGTGAAGGATGAAAATTGCGGAAATCGTGTAGATGTAGATTCGATATTCGATACTGTTAACTGTGGAGAGGAGTTGTCTGATGATACAGTGTAAGGTGAAAATTCGGGAAATGGTGTCGATGTAGATGATCTGCTTTCATCGTAAATGTTTGTTGTTTCCGTCAACTTTTTCAACATTCCATCCATTATTATTTTATTTATTAAACTTTCTGCGTAAATTGCTTGTCTTGGATCCATTCTCTTTAATTTCTTTCCCCACGCAATCCCTACTGCATCGTATTCATCTACATCATTACTGGATTCTAACTGTTTCATGCAATAATCCATGAAGTCAGTATGCCTTTTCTTAGCACTTGCCTTCCCGGTTTGCTTGGGTGCGCATGGTTTTGACTGTCTTAAGTTTGCTTGTAATGTTGCATTAGTGGTGGAAGATCGGGCTGATTCCGCTGATTCCTGTAAGGTAAGGTAACCGTATTATTTTTTACAGTTTCCCACAACAAAACAAGAATGGTGTAACATTGCGCAAGGATTTGAAAGTAAATGGCAATTTATAAACTGCGGGGGAGCTTTCGATGGAAAGCATATACGGATTGTACCTCCTCCTCACACAGGGGCCAAATATTATAATTATAAGAATTTTTATAGTATTGTTTTAATGGCTCTAGTAAACTCAGATTACCAATTCATTTACGTAGATGTTGGAAAAAATGGGAGAATTTCAGATGGTGGTGTTCTGGAATATACTGAATTTCATAGGAAACTAATAGAAGGTAAAAAAGATTTGTTATAAAGCAATATTAAAACATTACTTATGTATTACATACATGTTATTTAATGCAGGACAACTAAATTTGCCGGATCAAGATGAAACAAAGGGAAAGCTTAATTTTGTTTTTCTAGGCGATGAACCGTGTTCGTTACATGAAAATTTTTTGAAACCGTTCCCACAAAGAGATCTTTCATATGAAAAGTGAATTTACAATTATAGATTATCCCGGGCGCGAAATGTGTCTGAGAACGCTTTCGGCTTGTTAGCTGCACGTTTCCGCATTTTGCATACGGCTATACATATCACGGATCCACAACGCATAAACTACGTTGTTCTGGCTATTTGTGCCCTACACAATTACTTGAGTAAAAGCGGAACTTCTTATGTAACGCCCACATCATTTGATCAAGAAGATTTGGTAAATCATGAAGTACACATGGGTGACTGGAGGAATGATGGTGAAAAACTTCCCAATTTACAAAGTGCTGGACAAAAAAATTCCACAGTGGCCGCTAAAACTAACCGTGACAAGTATACGAAATACTTCAATTCAGAAGGCAAAGTTCATTGGCAAGATGCTATGTTAGCAAAGGGAAAAGCTTAATAAATACTGAAAAATATATGTATATGATTTGCATTATAATTACCTGAGATGGATCGTTTTCTTTATCTGTATCACCCACTGTCATTTCCTCAGTAAGCGCTTCTTCCTCATCAGTATTGCTGATACTCTGGGTTGGCATTTCTTGATCCACAGTGAACAATAATAAATCGTAGTACCACAGCGTGGGTACATAAACATCATCCTCTCCTGCTCCACTCCTTTTAGAATCCAAAACTTTTTTCATTTCCTTTCGAAAAGACCCGCGGAAGCTTTGAATTTTTTTAATCACATAATCCCGATTAGCTTGGGGATTCACCCCTTTGCAAAGTTCAAGTAATTGGTCATATCCAGCATTTTTTAGGTTTTTATTGGTGTAATCTTTAGACTTTATTTTCCATAAGCATGGATAAGATTGGTACATCTCAATGAAACTGGTTACCAACTCTTTCGACCAGTATCTTGAGTCTTGCGTCATATTGCACAGTGCACAGTTTGAACAACTCTGAATGAGAATCGTACGCGAGAGAACTTTTAGTGTAAACGAAACTGACACTCTTTTACCGCGCGATAAACCTACAGGAACAAACACGCTCCAAACTTGCGCGCTTACATCGCATCTACACTGACGTTCTTTCCTTTGCGATTGGGACGGCACATGCCAAACTCGCATGAAAGCGGGCTGGTGTAAAGGTGCCTAATGAGTTTCTTGGCTTTATGAATCATTTTGTGAAACACGCCAAACCTAGCGAGACTAACAAAGTTCTAGTTTTATTGGACAATCACTCTTCACATGTATCGATTTCTTTGATAGAATATTGCAGAGCTAATTTTATTACATTATTGTCGTTTCCCCCACACACCTCCCACCGACTGCAACCACTCGATCGAGGAGTATATGGTCCTTTTAAAAAGTATTTTAATAACTGTGCAGATCAATGGATGAAGAATAATCCAGGAAAGCGCATGACCATTTACGACTTACCTTCAATTGTTAAAACTGGCCAAACTTGCCCCAAAACGGGTTCAAGAATAGCTGGGCTATGTAGCGAAGGCCTGCGTTTTCACATATCTTGTTTCGGTCGAGACGTATGCCCTCATGCCTCTAGATAGTCAGTCAGGTACTGTATACACGCGTCCTCGTTGATACACCACGCTGGCCATCCGCTACATTCCTGCTTCGTCTTGAGGAAGTTATCTACATAGGACGAGAACAATCCACCAGATTGTGTTGTCCTGTCATATTGGGTGACGTCGTATTCCCACACTTCGCGCAGCTGTTGTATGGTGTAGCCCAGGGCAACGGCTTTTCGAAGCTTATCAGCAACATAAGTACCAGTAAACTGTCGCTGTTCATTGTTATGACTGCACTCCTCCTGGTTCATGGCCTCAACTCAGACATAGTGCGAACATTAGTTTACCGTGACAACGCATCGGTAAAACAGGATGATACAATGTTTGAGGCGGTAGCACTGTACGTTTCACTAAACCCTCCACACTGTTAATATCCACTGTGCGGAGTTCTTTCTGTGTCATACGCATGCGGGGGTGTCCAAGTGGGTATTTTCCATACTTATTAATGAAGAGATACAGAGAGCAGACGTCTAAATATTTAATTTCTTCGTGTTCTTCCGCACGATGGTACAATTTTATTGCATTGGTCCGTCCACCGAAGAAACCGTCGCGTGGATTTAAGGGTTCATGCTTTAGAACGTTGTGGCTATTAACGAAAGCAGTCGCCTCAGGATTTCTATCAAGGAACGCACGGAATTCGCACTCCCACTTCTCAACTAAATTGTAACCGAAAGAATGGATGCGCTCCGAAGTGGCCTCGGTTTTCTCACGCCTCGAAATAGTTATTTATGCAATGAGTGTATAAATGAGGCGTTTTAATCGCCGATTTATACATGAATTGCATACAACGTTTTTTCGTCGACTTCACTGGGGTAGGTAATTTTAAATTCAACTACAAGAAATTACAAACGAAATTATGAGCTCCGACGATTTTTCACTAAATTAGGTACAGCTATTGTCGTTGCTATAGTAATGTGTTGTTTTATGCTGTACCGTCAGTCCTCGTAATCGCAGTGGAAGATTATGTTGCTTGCTCTGCCGCGGAGACGATTTTAACATTATATCCACTCAAATCAAAAGAAACTTATTAGAACGGTTCGGCAATTGATGGAATACAATGAATTTGTAAGGAGATATTTCCGAAAATGTCAGGTTGACATTTTACCTTGAAAAGGTATGTGAAATTAGAATGTAATTAATTGTTTTGCAACTGTACTAAAGTACGTGTATTAACAGTGAAAGATATGGAAATGTTCATTCATCCCTGTGGTCGACGTACTCAATGTTGAAGGTAAAGTAACTGAATACCTTAACAATACCTTATCCGAGGAGCTACATATACATACATCAGGATATGCTTTGCTGAGATCGTTTGGCGATCATACTGGCTGCTGATCTCACTACATTAAAACCGAGATTAAAATGGTTAGATGGATGGAAGTTCTCAGCTGTTGCCGAAAGTGAATTGTTATATAATTGTCATTTCCCTTTAATAAAATGGTTGTTATGTATAAATGGTTGCTAACGATTAATGGTTGCTAACGTATAATGGTTGGTTGCTAACGTATAATGGTTGGTTGCTAACCATTAATGGTTGCTAACGATTAATAAGCTTCATCATTGTACTCGTCACTAAGGAGTAATTTATATTGTTATCGAGAGGTCGACGAAAAACATCGTTTCACATTTCTCATTTTTTAAAGGTGTGGTCTGGTCAGGAAAACATTTTTCGCAGCCGTGATAATAACAGCCGTGGAATTGGTACACGGTGTTCGTAGCTGGGGAGTATCCGTCTACCAAAATTCCTTCAGGCAAACGAACTTCTCGACCATTACCGGCATACTGAATGTCCGGGAGATCGTTCGATTGCGGCCAGGCAAACCATTTGATGGCGATTTGACTTTGGTTGTCAGCTGCCATGTACCCTCCGGTTGGTATGATCCCTATGGTGTGTTCTTTGAGGAAGTTACGTCTGTAGACAAAACTGCATGAGGAAGCGATCGTGCAGCACTCACGGAATGGGTCCACTTTGTTCTCCGTTGTAAATTTCTTCCAGAATTCAACACAGGCCTGTCGTAGGATATTCACATCTTGTACGCAATATCGTACAATTTCTTCTTTAAAGTTGAACACTGAACCCCGATCTACTTCAGCTGTGTGCCACTTAATAAATTCTTCGCGGTTCTTCGATGACATCTCATTACAGCCATAAAAATTAATATCAGGAAGAGGACCAACATAATTTTTGGTTGGCCAGTGTATTGAAGAAATGCGGGAAGTATCCTTTGGAACCAGCAAAGTTAAAAGCCTTCGGGAACGCACTTAGGGACATCTGCATGAAATTAAGGCTGTCTATAAATTTCACACTGTTGTTGCAGGTGATGGATGTGATTTTGGTACCTGTGGCGATTATCTTAGGGTTCCATGCTGACGTGTTCTTCATAATTTCTATTAAAATGAATATTCCGTCATACCCTTTACTGTTATGGGCTATTGCTACAACCTCACGATTTTTACGGGCCAGACTGGAAATATAGCTTAAGAGCTCGGTAACTGAGGATGTTTGGAATATATGCTGTCGGGACCCACAAACACTGCACGGTTCATTAATGTCCCTTTGTCCATTAATGCACTTTTTACATAACTGTTGCGCAACGCATAAATTAGGCTCGTGAAGATATGTGTTGGGAAAGTTCTCTATTGGCGTTTCCTGCCGACATTCGAAGTCGTAGAATATAAAAACGAAATCCTTGTCCAACTTCTTGTTATCGGGAGAATTTTTGTTCATATAGCATAAATGACGTATCGGGCGATCGGCCGCACACTGGCCGCACACATACAGCAATAGTTTACTCCGCATTTGTGAGCCTTTTTGTCTTCCAGAACTAGCCTGACACGTTCGACATCTGCTTAATTGATTGCACAATCTTTGGTTCTTGTGTTCTACGAAGCACTCGCGCCCACGAAAACCACGGTTACACACCGCGCACTTAAAGGCGGCTCCACACGCAACGGAAAAACCGAAGGCATGCCTCGAGGCGCAAGACCTCAAGGAAAACCTCCATGTGTGTATGGAGAATTCTGTTGAGGTTTTCCTGCGCATCTGACGCCTGGAGGCCGGAAATTTCAATACAAAATCTCATTCGATTTGCCTCTTCTTTTATAGCGCCCCAAGGCCGATCGTATTGTGTGGATGGGTGGGAGGTAGGCCTTGAGGCGATTCCGTTATACCCTATACGTATACCGTGTGGCAACCACCAAACCTGGCCATAGACACATTTAACCCTCCAACGGCTAGATTTTTTTTTCTTCAAATTTTCAAGTATCTAAAATTTTTTCTGCACAATTATATGTTAATTAAGTGTAATATGCACGTTTTAATTTTTTACGTCATTCAGATTAGTGATAAGAGGGTGTGACCGTATGGTCACACTAGCTTAAAGTCAGTTATATATGCGTTTTAAATTTATTTTCAGTTTACGAGAATACAAATACATTATAATTGAAAAAAAAAACTTATGGTGTGTGAAAAATTGCAAAACAATCGATACATAGGCCTACGTCACATTTTTGACATTGCGTGCGTCCTACGGAGCTACATCCTTCACCTGCACATCTTCGTCGTTTTTTCTCGGGGACCGCCACAATCAAATGATCTAGACGATCATACCTGACATCGTCCGAAATACGGTTTAGTGTAACACTAGTTTTACTAGTAGACGGCCTTCCAGTTCTTTTTGGGGCATTTTTATACCGCAGCAAATACGTTTTGGCAATCTCTCTACGAAAATTTAGATTTGTAATTTGCCTCCCTGTGAGTTTATAAGTGGTCCAAGCGTTCTGGATGGCAGCATCAAATAACCAAGTAACAAGTGGCCAATACCACTTTTTTCCTCTAATGCTAATGCGATTTCTAGCCAAGTCTTCATCCATCCTGTCGGTACCCCCCATATATTTATTGTACATTCCCACGAGATGCGGACGAGGTACTGCTATTATCCTTTTCTCTGATTTTGAATATCGTTTTACTTGTGCAATAGGCTGTATTCCGTATGATGTAGAACACATAGAAACAACGCCATTATCCACCCATCGAACCATCAATGATACCCTCCTCCTTCGATATTTTTCCTTCGTATTCTCCTCTTTTCTTTTTTGACATAGAGTTTTTATTTGTAAGTGGACAGTCCGATGGAACACGATTTTCTCTTATCGTTCCAGTGGTTCCATAACCCCGTTCTCCCAAATGAGTCAATAATTTAAAACTTGTAAATAAATTATCAACATAAATTTGATAAGGCAACTGCTTCTGCGGTAAACCATCTAACATTATCACAAGAGGTGCCGTTGCTTTTCCAAATTCTTGATCATAGTATTCATTAGAGTTTGGGCTTGCACCTTGGTAAATGTCAAAATTTATTAGATAGCCATTTTCGGAATTTAAACACCATACTTTGTAGCCAAAACGTATCGGCTTTCCACGGATAAACTGCTTACAACTATGACGACCGTAATATTTCACCATAGACTCATCATAGTTCATATGTTGAGTAGGCTTATAATATTTTAAAAAATTTCTTTGAAGTCTATCTATAAGTGGACGTAACTTCCACAATTTGTCATTGGGATTCATTTGGGTATTGTCTGCAAGGTGGAGAAATCTCATAATTTGACGAAACCTATCACGTCTACAAGCATTTTTGATCATCTGGTTACCCATGTCATCTCCGCTGTCCCAATAGAAGTCCTTTCCTGGTAGGATGTTGTATCCTGTGGCAATTAGAATTCCAATAAAGCATTTTAACTCACTCATAGATATTTTCGGGTCTGGTAAGTTCAAAAACAATGCATATTTTTTGGATTCTTCTAGAATAAGCAGTAGAATATCTTCACTTAGCATTAATTCAAAAAGATCCACAGGCGACTTATCTTGAAATGCACTGTAATCGGGAATAGGAAAATCTTTTTGCATGGTAATGTTACCATCAATCCAAGTTGTTTTGGTGCGACCTTTAGATTTTCTTTTTTTTGGAGGTGATTTTGTTTTCTCCAGTCTAGTAAGGACTTCTGTTGGATGACTATCGATCTCGCTATCATCGTGACATTTCTTCCTAATTTTAGATTTTCGTTTCTTTGGAGTTGGATTTTTTTTCTCGGGTATTTCAGGTTCTTGTGTTCGCTGATTGCCGATCTCGTTATCATCTTTACCGTTCCATCTAATTTCAGCTACGGCTGATAACTGCCTCCTTGACAAATTATCTATAAGTCCGCCATCATCTTCGTTAGCTGAATCTTCATCGGTTTCGACTGCTGCATCCGGAGGTGAAATGAATATTAGAGGATCACTATCGTTGTTAGTGTCCTCAAACACCATATCAAGGGCCTCTTGTAGGCTAAACCCGTGTCTATAAAAGAATATCAATTGAAGCATATATCACGCTAGTGTTACCATATGGTAACAGACATCTTCTTGTTCAAAAATCATATTGAAAATTTTATTCAGTCTATGCCAAGTAAATACTAATCAAAATAGTAGATATTTGGCAATGTAAATGCCACAACAATAAAAGCTTATCATAAAAAGTAAACACGTTATTATACTTACTCAAATCTGATGTCCATGATTTCGATCAACAAAAACTTCAGTCGAGAAAAATACACACAAATATCTACAATTAACTTCAACTGAGGTTATATTGTTTACTAACGTTATATACAGGTTTCTGTGGTCAAAATATTACAACTGTAATGTAGGTATCTGCAATTATAACAGAAACCTACCTCATTTTATGTAAGTACGTTTGCGTGACCATACGGTAACACCAGCCGCTGGAGGGTTAAAATTACACAATTTTTAAGAAGAAATATTAGTTTCCATATGAAATATATTGTAACGGAAACGCTCCAGACGTGACGTCGCCTTTGGCGCTCTGGAATTTTCTAGGCGCGCGATAGTGGGAATGTTCGCGACGTATCTGATAATTACGCGAGTGTTCTGGACTTACATTGCTTGCGTGTATAAATGGTTGCCGACCGAACATCGCAGGCAGTTTTACTACCGAACGAGATCGAGTACAGACGAAACATTGATATAAATTGCGAAGTGTGTAATATAAATAGTCGATATCAATTGTACAGTTTTTATAGTGTTTTAGTTTTGTTTAATAAATATTGATATAAATCGAACCCGAATTTATAAATCACGTTACAATATATTTTGTTTAATGTCATATTGACATACGGTGTAGTTTTGTGTGAAAAGAGGTCCGTTGCATCAAGTTTTCATATAGTCATGGTCCGTGCAAAGCAAAAACAAGAGGAATTTATAGCCAGAAATCGTAATGTGGCACTCAATGTATCATGAGGTGTAATTGCGGTCCTCATTATGGTGTCCTTTTTGTAAATGATCGACGTCACCAATGATAAGAGCCTTAAGTATGTGTCCTCATCCATCCGCAAATAATTGTGCCAATCTTTCGGACTGAACCTCGGGTCTTTTAATAAATTTACATGGAAGTAACATTTCCTTTTCTGTAACCAGTCTTTAATCCAGAACTTTCGCTTCACTCTTTTTTTATTACTTTCGACAGCTAACAATAATCCAACAACAGGAAGAACGTTATCTGTCAACGTCATTTTTGCGCGAAACTGGAGTGCCTTAAGGCTGGCTTTCGTATATTCCGTAGTGTGTGGAGACCCCCTATAATTTAGGTTCGCCTCAAGGCCCATCGCCCCGAGGCATGCCTTCGGTTTTTCCGTTGCGTGTGGAGTCGCCTTTAGAAAAATTCCAGAAGTGATAACCGAAGTTGAAAATCGCATTAAGTAAAATGGAAGGCAGTGGAATTATTTCGAAAGTAAGCGCAAACCTACTGTTTGGGTAAATGATTTAGTTATAGTGGAAAAGCGAGATGGATCAATACGAATTTCCTTGAGTCCGTTAGAACCTAACACAAGTGGATTCAACGAGAACATTATCATATACCAACGATAGAGGATCTTACTGCTCTAACTTTGCAGGGAGAGTGATTTACTGTAATGGATATGAGCTGCGTATGTTCAACACACCGTATGGCCGTTATAAGTTCAATAGATTACCGTTTGGATTGTCGTCAAGCCCAGAGGTATTTCAACGTGAGAACATGAAGATATTTGGAGATATTCCTGGTGAACACGTTTATTTTGACGATCTAATAATTGCAACTATGACAGAAGAACAACACGACGCAGTTTTAAAAGTTGTGATGAAGAAGGCTTAATGCATCTAAATAGTATATTAAGTATGGAGAACGGTAAGGGATTTTTACCGTTCGAAGACAATTGTTTGGAGGAGGAGCGAAGCGACGACTCCAATTATTGTCTGAGAACGGTAACCCTTAACGTTCGACGTGCTTATAACATTTTTTGCGCGATCGAAATTAAAATTATGCAACCAATATAAATATGCACTAAGAAATTAACGAGCAGAATAAATCGAAATGATCGAAGTGGTATGGTTGTACATCACTAGGTAACCAGTTTATTTGTCAAAATTGAAGTTAATAATTTCATAAAAATGTGCATGTGTCTGATGTAGTTTACTAGCTTTGCACTTCCTTTATGACTTTATGAGCGTCTTGCTATAGGAAACAACAGCACAAATTGTACGTTTAATGTACCTAACAATAATTAAAGATTAAATGTAATGTAAGACTGTTGATTTTTAAAAAGGCGTCGGTAAGTATTTTTGCTGTTCTGTTTTTAGATCGGTAAGTAATTTTGGCGTCGTCGTAATCATAGCAACTGGTAAATCCTACGTACTGTCATGGAAACACCCATGGTAAATAGTCAGAAATGACCGATCGCGCAAAAATACAATATAAAGTGCCTGGTGTGGGTTTTATCTCTCACACGCTTTCGGATATTGGTTAGTTGAATATGAAAAACCAGAGATTATTACAAACTATGTGCTTATATTATACAATTATAACTACAGCAACCCCTCCTTACCTTTCAGATTGTCTATAGGACGGATGTACATAATCTAAACCTGAGGTATAAAGGTGGAATCGCTCCTCCAACTCATAAGACCGCTATTTTCGAAAAGTCCTTTTCTTTTCAAATAGCTAGATAAATAATCAATTACCTTTATATCTCAAAGTATGTTCAAACAAAAATTTCAAAACTCAATTTAAGCTCCTTTGAACGAAAAAACAGTGTGTAACTTTAGTGACATTCATCAGTGACAAATCCTAATGTGATGCGTGTAGGTGTTTAGAGCAGAATTGGTTTATTTTAATTTATGTCCACTTGAAGTCGACGGTAAGTCTAAATTCAGGGGTACGCTACTACCATTTAAGTTATTAGCATGGAATCTATTTTCAGGTGGATGATCAGTTGTTTCTTTACACGGAGAAAAAAAAGTGCTTAATTTCGATTAAAAAATACGTTGAAATCATTATTTTTTTCGTAATTTACGTTCAACGAAATGTTTAATTAAAGTTATGAACAGGTATTTATAAATAAATAAAATCGGATTGTTAAACTACGAATATTCTTCATTTACATAATTAATTTGTTAATAATTCCATTTACACCCGATTTTCATTAGCCAATGTAAGATTTTCATAGATTAATGTACTTTTTCATAGATATTATGAAGTGATCACGCAGGCACATTCATTAGTTAATGAACATCAGTTAAGCAACTAACGTATATAATTCATCAATTAATGAATAACAGTTATGCGTTTAACGAATAAAAACCATTAGTTAATGAATGTTAGTTAAGCAACTAACTTACATCTTTTATCAGTTAATAATTTACAGTTATGCAATTAACGAATGAAAATCATGAGTTAATGAATGTCAGTTGTTGTATTTACTAAATCATATTATATTATAGTATCAATTAAAGGCATCTTTGATTTATGTACTTAAATTTACATAGGGTGTTCTTAACAAACGCGCCCCTAATTATTTTTTATTTGTCTATCTACAAAATTGGTGTAGGTATTGTAGTTTTAATTGTTAATTCGGAATGTTTCGGCCTATAAATTATTGTAGTCAAGTTGAGCTGTGAAAATTTGTATCAACCAACGCACGGGAAATTTTGAACAGTGTATATTACCTACATTGGTTGATCAACCAATGTAAGACACGGTATTCAAAATTTCCCGTGCGTTGGTTGATTCAAATTTTCAAAGCACAAACATGCCAGGTTTGTGTCAAGTGTTCTTCTTGGTATTTGTGGGGACAACTTCATTTATGTTGGGCAAAATTTTGTTTCAAAATTTTAAAAGTGAAAATGTAACTCTATATCAACAAAATTTTACCCAATTAATGTCAACAATTTTCATGTACCTAAGTCTAATTATTGGTAAAAATCAAATTCTTTAACGCAGGTATTCTTTAAACCACATTGCTTCAACTCAAATAATTGTATATTTAGTGTCTGAGGATAGCCCATTAGCCTGAAACATGTTAAGAATTAACAATTTAAAATTGCTACAAGTCACCAACTTTGAAGTTACACGTAATCTCTTTCATCTCCCAATATCCCAATGATTTTAAAGTATTTGATTTCTGGTTTTAATTTCAGATTTCGAAATATTTTTTTATAGAATTATTATTTATTGTGTTTAAATACATATTTAGCCTCGATATTTACTTGAATATCATTTTTGCTCTACTCACTGTAAATTACACAAGGCTGTTAAATCCATAATCGAAAAGTACTAGAAAAAATAAAAGGGTCTGTCGGCGCAACAGAAAAAATTAATGAAATGAAAGCGTAATTTTGTAATGTACAAACTGCGCACTGCACAATACACTTCCAAAAGTCTTCAAACCCTATACCCAATAACACACCGTAGGTTATTCTTCCATCTTCCTGTAATTGCCACATAAATGATCAAAAGGTTAAAACTGGGTTAAAACTGTAGAACGTCTTTCGATAGATATGTTTAAAACCTCAAATTACTTGATCAAGTAAAGCTCATGTCACATTATCAATCAGTTTGACAAATTGGACTGACAAACTTCAGGTAATGACGTCACAGTTAGATTTTGGTCAAACTGTCTAATTTTAGAGGCACTCCTATTTTTTTGATGCGAGGTGCATTGTTATTGGTTGCTTTAAAGCCGGAAAAAAAAGCGGGAACGTTACATGAGCGTGCCTCTAGTAACGGCGATTGAAATAAATACACATAATTACATAACCTAGACTGTGACAAAACATAACCCCTTAGTAATTCTTTTAACCTTTCTGTTGTGCATTATTTTTAAATTATGTCCTGGAATCATAATCAAACATCAATTTTAATTGATTTGTATAGAAACCATGAGGTGCTATACATTGTAAAAGATCCTCAGTACCATAATAAAGGGGCCCGGCTG